AACAAGAAACAAATGAGCTGAAAGTTGCACCTAACACATACTGTACTGACCATTATAAATTTAATATTTCACTTCTGTTAAATGAGAAATCTTACAAGGAAATCAAAAAATGGAGTTATTTTGAGCCCCCCCATAGCATACTAGTTTTTATAAGGTATATGCATTACCTAAAAGTTAACATTATAAGAAAAAAATAATTTTACTTGCACATTGAATTTGGGAGGAGGGAGTGTGAGCGGATGACGTGAAATAGGAATTCGAATCTTAGGTCTCACATCTGCTAGGCACTCATCTCTTGTCTCAATGTTGAATACAGAGGGGAGAAAGAACAGAAAAAGTAATGAAGTCTTGTCAACAATGTTAAAAAAATTGACACACTTCCAGTCATGACTTCCTCAGGTTAAGACCACTCTCCGGCCCCACCCTTTTGGCCAAAAAATGAACTCTCAAGAATATTTTCATAACAACTTACTAACAGCAGAAAGTTGTCTAGTGGGCATTTAACTTACTAATAAAAACCCCACAGTGTCACAGCATTTTCCATCTCTGACAGAGAAGCAATTTCTGCTTACAATTGCATCATCAAACAAGTAAGTTGTATTAGCTACACTCAGTTTCTTAAGTGAAATATAATGTAGTTTAAATACAATTATAAAAAGCTGCCCTATGACCACACTGAAATTCTCTTATAACCACAAATAAGCAAAAAACATACAAAAAACCTGACAACAATAACAAAAAAAAACTTGCATGTCTAAATATATATGCCTCAAAAAAGAGCATCTTAATCAAGCTTTAGTAAAGGTCAAGTAGTCAAAGCAAGGTTTATTTTATCTGATACTTCTTTTGCCATAGGAATCTATCCTCTCTAAAAGGGGAAAAAAAAAAAAAGACTATTTCTTGTGGAAAATCAATGAAGCATTAGCGACAGAACAGTGACACAATTAACAGAAATATAATGTAGGAGAATCATTCAAAAGTCAAATGTGAGCCAGAAGTGTAGCTCAGTGGTAAGGCACTTATTAGTAGCAAAGCCCTGGTTCTATCCCGGACCCTATACACGTATGAAAAAGTCAAAAGAACCTGTTTTAATTTTGTAATCTCAAAGCCACTTAAGAAAAGTGTTCATATAAAAAACACTGGTATACTCAACTGGGTGTGAAACTTTTACTATAAAGTATGTAAAGCAGAAGAAAAAGGAATCATCTTCCACTTATTCAGGTAGGCTTCCAAAGTCAGCCAAATGCTGAATCTACAGTGTGATACAAATGACCTGTTTCAGTTACAGGCATATAGAGAGCTGTGGCACTCCTAGAAAAGGCAGTAGAGAAAAAGATAACTTGTCACAAAGTTCTTGCTTCCTTATTAGCACACCTAATTCAAAAGATAAACCTTCCCTCTGAAAGAACAGATTAATGGGATTCCTCCAGAAGAAAAATCTATTTGTCACAGATATTGATTGCTGTCAACAAAGATTCTTTCTTCATACAAAAGATCTAAAATTTTTAAGAAACTATATAGTCGGAGTCCTCTCAACACCAATAGCCAGGCAAATTTTAAATAAAAGCTTTTCAGGACAAAGTTCCTATAAATACATAAATAAAGCAAGAAAACTGCGGGTAAGACACACCAAACAATAAATTCCTAAGAAGCAGAAAAAGGCATTAACATGGAAATGTATTATAGCAAATAAAGTTTTTAAAATGTTTCCTCATGTTTTAAGAGGAAAAATTTACTATCAAAAAAGGGCCTACAAAAAATATTCACAATAAAATCATTTAGACTTCACTTTCCCACAAACCATAATACATTTTTTAATTTTTCATTTTTGAATAAACAGCTTTCCCAGATTCCCTAAAAAAATAAAATAAAAACTCAAAATCTGATGTTAAACTACCTAATTTTTCCTTATTTGGGTCTTTTCAAATTTTTTTTCTTCACTTTTATAAAAACAATTTACATTTAATTTCTATTGTTCAAATGTCAGTTCTATGACAAAGGTCTTTTAAAAAAAAAAACCACAACAAAACAGTGTACTGTTTTAAAGTGGATTGTCTCAATGTACAGTTGAAAACTTTCTGAAGACAGAGTAGTCTAAAGACCCAGGTCTTAACCTGTCATGGTATTCAATATCAACTGAAATGTGTTCTTCATGTAGCTGCAAAACTCAAAATATATTCTCTTACTTCACTTAGTGTTAAACATACTTGGAGAGAAAGATGGGTACTGACTCCAAGCAAAAATTGAATAATGAAAGACCACCAAGATACAGACAAAAAGGTAATTTTTAACTTGACACAGAATGTGTTCCTTCTAAAGCTTCAAGTTTTAATCAAGTAGGAAAACACAACCAATTATTTTCCTAATTTTCTAACAATTCTCAAGCTGACTGGAAAATGTTTAAATATTTATTTCAAAAACATTTTAAACAAAGGGTGAACAAATGGAGCAGTGACACTCTCCAGACACTTATGTTGAAAATGAACAATACAACTTATAGAAGAAGGAGGGAAGAAACTGGAGAAAACGAGGGAAGAAGTGACTGTTCAAAAGGAAACGTACTCATTATCTGACTTATGTAACTGTAACCCTTTTGTACATTACCTTTATAATAAAAATAAATTTAAAAAGACTAAACTACAAAACCCTATTAAACTGATCAATCACTTAAGTAAAAAACTTAGTTTTTCTGAACTTGAAAAATAATTTTTCTGCCAAGCATTATGGACAAACAAAAATATTACTCCTAACCACAAACAGAAGTCATTAATTCGTTTTGGATAATGACCACAGGGGTAAAGCACAACTTGTTAAATACCGCAATTAAATCATCCAGAGAGAAAAAAAAGTGACATAACTAAGATACAGGATTTTTTTAACTCAAATTAAGTTTATAATAATGCTAACAATTACAGGAAGCAGCTTATTCCACACTAAAGAACAGCCCCTTGCACTGGTCTGATAAAAACAATCCAACTTCCTGGTCAGTATACTGCCCATCTCAAACATATTAGCTACCACAGCGAACTAATCTATGCATTAGAGAGCTGAAAAGACTAGAAGGAAGAACAGATCAAGGCAAGTTTTCTCTTTATGAAAAGGAGAAACAGTACTTGGAACGTTATCATCTTGACTCAGTGTTCCACATCTGAAATGCAAATTTCCAACCAAGGAGAAAATATACCTTTGTTAAAGATAATATCAAAAGATTAAAAACTGAAGTCAGAAGTTAGAAACTTTCCAGAAAATCAACTTCGACTGCAGATGGATATAAAAGCAAAAGTGAGATGCCTTTTACAACTAATCAAAGAAATTCAAATTGTTTAAAGCTTTTAGAAATAGCATCTATGTGGTTAAGAGTATTTCCAAACTTTTCAAAATATTCTCGTGTGCCGTTTGATTGAATTTAGCATTTTAATAATGCTGTAACAATAAACTGCAGCAAACATTTTTTTCACCCTAAATTATTCCTACTAAACTTTAACTTAATCAAAATAAGCCATGGAGAAAGTGTACTGTTTTCTATCCATAGACACATTCCTGGATCACAGATGAAATTGTCTCCATAAAATAAATTGCAACTAAAAATTTAGGTCAGATTATTGGGCAAGCTACACATTTTGTTAAACATTTCCACAATTAAAAACACAATAGCTGGCGCCCCTTAGCGCTCACATTTGGAAACACGCATTGAAGAGTTCTGGCTTCTTTTTTTTTTTTTTTTTTTTTTTTTTGACATTCCAGAAAGTTTTCTGCCTCCACAATCTTTCAAATGCCAACACAAATAGGAAAAGCGGAACCCTTAAAGGGGCAGCTCGAGTTTTCTCTGGAGCCGTGTAACACTAAACCACCCTGATCCCAGAGTGGGAACAACGCGAGCTCCGGCGGCGTCTTAGTGCGTGGACGAGGCGGCGGCCGCCGTTTTCTGCTCCAAAACTGTGCCCCCGGTTCGGGGCGAGGGCAGCTCCGGGTTCCTCGTGAGCCACTTTCTGCCAGGGAGAGACTTCCGGCCCTTTGTTCTCTCTGGCATGCCAACTCCGTGAGCGCGACCGGGAAAAGGTCTCCAAGCTCTTCTTGGCCACCTAGGACCCACGGCGTCTCCGACGGCTTCGCTCGGTGCGCGGGCGCCGGCCGGGCGGACGGGCGCCGTCCCGACTCCCTCTTCCCAAAGCACACATAGGGCTCCTCAGATCGGTTTTCCTCTCCCCGGGCTGCCCCGGAAAGTAGCGACTACTCCAGGCCGCAGCCGCGAAGGGGCTGCGCGGCGACCCGGGGCAGGCCGGGCGGGTGCGGGGCGGGGCGGGCCTCGGCCTCGGGCTCGGGCTCCCGGCCCAGCCCGCCGCGCCCGCCCGCCCGCCCGCCCCGGGCGCCTCGCAAACTTTCGCTCCGCTCCCTCCGGCCCCGACAAACTTCCCGCCGCCCCGCGCGCCGGCCCTCCCGCCCGGCGCGCCCCAACTCGGGCTCCGCTCCGGGCGGCGCTCGCCAGCCCCCACCCCCGAAAGTGAAGTTGGACTCCCGCGCCCCAGACAATAGGAGCGGGGAGGCGCCCGCGCCGCGCCGCGCCCGCACCACTTTCGGGCTCCTACGCAATTTCATTAAGTCCCGCGCGGCGTCGGCCGGCGCGGCCGGGCCCCCCGCGTCCCCCGGGCGGGGGGCCCGCGTCCCCGGGCGCGGAGGGCCGGAGGCCGGGCCGGGCCGCTCCGGCGCACAGGGAGGGACCGAGGGAGGGAGGGTCCGCGGCCCCGCCGCGCCGGGCCGCCCGCTCCGCCTCGGACCCCCAGGCCCGGCGAGGACCCCGCCGCCTCCCGCGCGCCCAACTTGGCGCCGGCGCGGGGTCCGCCCGCGGCCCGGCCCCCGCCCTCGCCCGCCGCCGCCGCCGCCGCCTTTGTGCGCCCGCCCGCCCGCCGGCCGGCCTCCCGGGGGCCCCGGGCGCGCGTCCCGCCGGCCTGACCTTCCCGCCGCCCCCCTGCCCCGGCGGCCGGGCCGGGCCGGCGCCTCACCTTCGTCCAGCAGCCGCTCGAGGTGGTTGAAGATCCCGCAGAAGTTGGGCAGGCTGCTCATGAGCTTCTTGTCGTTCATCAGCTGCATCAGGTAATCCGGGGTGGGCTTCGGCTTCTCCTTCGTTTCCATTTCCCCGACCATATTCCAGGCTCCGCCGCGCTCTCCGCCCGCCGCCGCCGCCGCCGCCGCCGCCGCCGGAGAGGAGGGAGGGGCGCGGGCGAGCCCCGGCCGCCGGCCGCTCGGGACGCCGCGTCCCGCTCCGCGCCGGCTCCCGCTCCGGCTCCCGCGCCGAGCCCCGGGGCGGCCGGCTCCGCGCGCCCGCCCGCCCCCCGCAGGCACTTTCCGCCCGGCCCGACGCGCCGCGGCCGCCGCTCCTCGGCCGCCCCTGGCGCGGCTCCCTCGCGAGGCCGGCGGCGGAGGCGGGACTCGGGCCGAGCGCGGCGCGGGCCGCTGCGCCGCGAGGAGCCGGGGGGCCGCTGGTCCGCTCCGCGCCGCCGCCTCGCCGGGCTCGGGTCTCTCCGGCCGGTGCCCGCCGCGGCGCTCCGCGCTCCGACTGCGCTCCTCCTCTTCCTCCCGCTCGCCTCCTCCTCACTCACTTGGCGGCGGAGTTCGCCTCAGTTCAGGCGGCGCTGCCGGCGGCGGCGGGGGAGGGGCGCCGGGCGGGGAGGGCCGGGGGCGGGCGCCGGGCGGGGCCGCGCAGGGCGGCCGTTACGGGGCCCGGCCGGCGCGCTCCCGCCCCCCGCCGCTCCGGGCCCTCCCCGCCCTGGTGCGCGGGCGGGACGGGCGGCCGGGGCCGGGGCGGGAGCGTGGCGGCGGCGCCGGGCGCGGGGGTCTCCGCCCTGCGGGGGCCTCGGGGTCGGGCGAGGGCGCCGGGCCGGCCTCACGGCGGCGGGCGGCGGGCGGGTCCGCGGCCGCCCCCGCACGCGGTTGCGGGAGCCGCGGGCGCGGTCGGGGAGGAATTCCGGCGGGACGCGCCGCCACGCGCGGCGCCCGCCGCCGCCCCGGCCTCGCTCGCCGCCCGTTACTAGTTGTCTCTCCCTCGGACCTCGGCCACCTTCCCGCTACCGTCCAGAGACAGAGGGGTTTCTTTTTTTTTAACGTCCTGTTGCTTCACGGGGGACTCGCGGGGTGGGCGTCACGTGGCCCGACACGTAGCCGTGAGGCCGACGGCGCGTGCGCGCGGCGAGGCCGGTGGCCACGCCCCCCGGGGGTCGCCCCGCCCCGTGGGCCGAGAGCGCGCGAGGGGGAGGGGAGGGGCGGGCCTGGCGCGCGCGCCTGCGCGGGGCCGGGGCTCGGAGGCGCGGGGCCGTGCGGGGCCTTTGCAGCCGCGGAGCCCTCGCTGCGCGGCCTGCACCGTCGGGTCCGCGGGGACGCGGGGCGTGCCCGAGCCCCGACTGCGGTGCGGTAGGCGGGGACGGACGGAGTCGGGCCGCCGTGGTGGACTCCCCGCGGGCTCGCGGGGGCGGCGCGCGTGACGTCGCTGGGTCCGGGCGGGCGGGCGGCGCCGGGAGCCCCGGGCCCCGCCGGGGAGCGGGGGGCAGCGCAGGGCGGCCCGGACCCCGGGGGGCGGGCAGGAGGGCGGGCCGGCCGCCCCCGTCAGGTTCCCGACGCGCCCGCCCGGGTGGTGGCGGCGTGGGCGCCCGCGCGCGACGCTGGTGGTCGCCGCCGGGTACCGAGCGGCCACCGCTTCCCACGCGGTGGCTCACGTGCCGCGTGCGCGGAGCTGGCGGCGGGAGGCCGAGCGGCCGCGCCCCGAGGAGGGTGGGGTGGAGGCCGGCGGCCTGGCCCCAGCGGAAGCCCGCGCGGGCGCACCGCCCCACCCCGGTCCCGCCTCGGCCCGGCCAGGCTCGGCCTGGGTGGGAACCGACGCCCCTTTCTGAGTTGGTTCCCTTCGCGCCCAGGGTACGCCAGTCCCCCGGCCTCCGGAGGAAACCCGCACCCAAAGCCAAGTAGAGAGCCGAAGCTGAGATTCGGAACCTCCCCTCCCCTCCCCGCCCGCCACGGGCCCTGGCTCACCAGGCAGACCCCCACTTGGCCCACGCCCTCATCCTGTGCCTTGTTTGCTTCAGGGGTTGTTACATGTTTTTGTTTGTTTTCCATTTTATCCTAACTATGGCCTCCCTGAGGCATAGAACCACGGCACCTACCACCGCACTGAGCTCACTGATTAAGACGGCACCTTGCTACTTTTTGCCGGGTCTGCCCTTGAACTACGATCCTCCTGATCGCTGGATTACAGGGAGTTGCACCACACCTGTGCTTTGCCTTTTTATCGAAACTGTCCAATAAACTCGTTGAACTTTGTAATAATGTTCCGCCATTCTGACCCCTAGGAAGTGCGTTTTGTAAGGCTTAACTACTTTTCCTAATCTAGTTGAAACTAATTCGAATGGAAGAACATTGTTAGGTTACATTATTGAGTGATTACTACTAGGTATCTTTCAATGTATAGATCACAGCTCTTCATAGTTATTCCATGATTTCTCTCTCCAGAGGGCAGGCCGGGGAAAGGGGGGAAATCTAAGGCCTGTGAGAATCCCGTGTGATTTGACCTCCGTATCTTGCTGACTGGGCTCTAGCTGCCTGAAATCCTTGACCCATCAAACGGCCAGGCATGCTGACCTGTTCCAAGCCATGTTTCCACACTCAGGCCTGCCTACACACACGAACCCTGCACCCCGCAGGATGCCCTTCCCCCGTTGGTCCCATTTCTTCCTCATGTCTGGACCCCTTGGGCTGCACCTGCCACCTACACTACGTTCCATCAGAACCAGAACTTGACTTTCTTCTTCTGTGAGTCACAACACATGATATGTGCATATGTGGTAGTGCATTACACACTTGCACTCATGTATGTTTTCCTGGAACCCTTTTCCACTTGCTGCTTTCATAGCATAGTCACACCAACATTTGGTACAGAGGTGAATAGCTGTACCTCAGAGGTACAGTGGCCATCCCACCTCAGCAGGAAGTAGCTGGCAGAGGCAGACCAGGTCTACCTAGGATGTCTTCCCCAAGCTCTACCATGCTGAAGCACAAGCTACCACATTTCCTACCTCAGCAATCAGGTTTGCATTGTAGTTGAAAATTGTAAGTGCAGAGTACAATAGAAAAGTTCTTAAGATGTGTGGCTTGCCTTCAAAAAGCTTACAATTTTTAAAATAAACATAGCCAGCCTTTTCCATTATTACATGTGAATTCTGCCCCACAGGCCATGAGGCCTGATACGTGAGGGAACAGGCAAGGATGCTTCTGTATGCTCATGCACTGCTCATAGCCAGCCTGCCTGTATTGATCATTTTTATAGCCCTGGAATGGTGTTATAAATATCCAAATGGCCCTTGGCAGAAGAAAAGTTCCCCTGATTGAAAATACGTATGGAGTGAGCTTCAACTTGAAGATCCTTGTAATAGCTTTTTCACTGTGAAAAATTATGTCATCTACTATGTTGACACTAAAATTGGTTCCACATTCTAAAGTCAGTAATTAACCAGGAGTGGAAATACATTTCTGTTCTCTTACATTTCATTGGCTCTATTTGCTTATTGCTGTTCTTGACATTTAAAATAGAAAATTACAGTATTCCAAACACTTCTGTCTTCATCACCATGGAGTTCCTGCAGCAACTAAAATGTTCCCTGAACTTAAGATTCAGTGCTTGATGGCTTTTGGTTCCAATGTTCTTTTTTAAATTCTTAATCCTTAAATTTCCCTGATAGGGAATTGTTTATAGTAATTGTTTATTGTCTTAATGGAGTTCTTGGGTATCCTTTTAAATTGTGAGATGGTTCATACAGTACTATTCAAACAAAAACAAAGTGACACATTTTAAGAAAGACCATCTTGGTTAGATACACTGAATGCCTGCTGTAGGACTGGGCTGGGTGTTAACTAATGAGTGCTAAGTAAAGCCTAAAGACAAAAGCTGCAAGGATGTGGGTGAGAGCCAGGTTCCCTCCTGGAACCCAGGGCAGGAGTGCCTTCCAAAGGAAGGTTTTGATCTCAAGGTTGGGAAGAGCTAGGGGAAGGCACTGACAATGCTGAAAGCATTAGAACATGTAAGTATGTGGAAATAGAATTAACTCCCTCCCTTTATAGCTACTCTAAACTAAAGGAACAAAATAAAAATTTAGCAGCCCCCTCCCTCAAAAAAGGAAGTGGAAAGGTATCAGGATGTCAGTTGTCATCTCCATTGGTGGTAGATTAGATAGCCTTCCAGTGTCAGGCTACCATGTTTGTAGATGAATGGCCTTGGGCTTTAAATTATTTTTTAACACAAGAAAATAAATCAACCATAGAATAACATGGACTCCTTTCAGTGAGGCGTATTCAGATAAAGCATTTGCAAAATGAAAAGCTTTGCCCTTTTAGCCACCCCAGTGTATAACAGCTGCCTTTTTAAACCACAAACACGATACTTCCAGATGCAGTACTACCACTGCACTGCAGCTAAATGTTAACTGACAGTGTAAGGTTGCTACACATTTGACCCTCAATGTAACTTTAGAGGTGAAAACCCTCAGCCAGGATGCAGATCCTTGTGCCATGCAATCTGACCTTCATTCCATATTTAAGAGGAATCTTCAACAAAACAGAACTGTAATAATTACAGCACCGTGAGAGTGAATTAAAATGCATTTTGTTTTGATCGACTTTCAGACTGATGACTCGTGATTTTAATTTCAATAGTGTTCCCCTGGATTCAGTTACATGGGTGCTTTTCCTACAGGATACATCACTGATTAATTCTTTACAATATTAAACAGATTTCATTGGATTCATGGTCTGTGAGTTTAAATAGCTAATGTGGGTAAACATTTTACAAGTGAAGGGTATAACTGCAATGCTCCACACATTTAATCAAATGCCATTTATCTTTTATTGAAATTTAACTCAAAGATAGAATGTATTTTTCCTGATTGGGTTATAGATTGATGTCTTCTAGACTAAGTTTACAGAGAAACCAGGGAGAAAATAAGAAGACTGAAATGTATAGAGTACCTACAACATAAAACACTGCAGTTACTGAACACAAACAGCTCAAAGTTAATGATTATCACCATTTTACAGTTGAAGAAACCAAGGATTAGAAGGTTAATTAGTTAACATGATTCCTGTCCCATAGTCAGTAAATACTGGGGACATAATTTCACATAGACTCTCAAAGCCCTGAGCAACAAAGGTATAGAGCTGCCCCTTCTGTAAGATAAGTTCAGATGCCTAGAAGTTATGTCTTTT